GAAATAAATGATAATCAATATAAGCAATTTTATAGAGAATCAGTCATATAGCATTTTGACAAAACTCTATGGGATACTCCACCCACATTTTACAAGACCTAAGATGTTAGCATCATCTTGTCAACCTGCTCCTTCAACAACGCAACCGTGTCGCGTAGTTCGGCTACCTTTGCATCCCCACTCGCCGACAGCCCCGGGAAGTTTCTGCGGCTGGTGACGTCACACACGGCACGGCTGGGCACTCCCCCGGCACGCTGGCCGCGGGTTGGGTTAGGAGGGCCGCGCTGGTCACTCGCGGTCGGCGCCGGGGCCACAGGGGGTGGGGGGGAGGGGACAGGGCAGGGAGGGCCGCGCTGGTCACTCGCGGTTGGTGCTGCGGCCACAGGAGGAGGGGGGGAGGTGCCAGGGCAGGGAGGGCTGTGCACCCCCAGTGCCAGGCAGTCACACCTGCCTTCCCACACCTGAAGCAGGATGGGACGAAGCTCGGTGCATCTGCAGCACTGCGAGGACTCTCCTTGGCACTGTGTTGCTCCCCACATGCTGTGCAGCGTGCCTTATCCTTACAATACTTAGCTACATGGCCGCTTCCCATGCAGTTGTAGCATATGACAGGGGATGCCCTCCACGGCCGCACGTGGCTGGTGGGCATGTATTTTCAGAAGAATTTGTATGTACTTGGAGGGGGTTGCTCTCCTTTCCATACGATGCGGATTCGGTTTAATGGTTGGCCATCCTTGTACACTCGAATGGCCTTGTGAACTCCATCGAGTGCATATGCGTTGCCATGGTCAAGGTCCTTGTTGTAATGTGTGACGAGGTATTCGTGATATTTTTCCGATTTCTTCTTTTCATCGCATGATTTGAAGGTAATACCTCCAATAAGTCCCCCAGTAAGGTTTTCTATATAGCTCTGCTGGGAGCGGGCGACATAGATATATGGCGAGGAGAGCGTGTCCCCTCTCATATATACGCCAGATCATCAAAAATTTCTGGCTAGTTCTTTGCCCAATTTTCACAACCAAGGCACCATGGACGACCTTAGTGCAAGGCACTCACACTTTGGAGACAGCCAGCGTAATAGTAATGGGGAAGAATTCAAACATTTCATTAATAATAGATCACTGACAGTATATGACAGAAATAGAAACTCATTTGGGAGGTGGCAGGTTAGATTACGTATTTGGCAAAAATCTAGTTCATGGTAATGTCTGTTCTTCACTGGTACGAGAATTAGTGACCACTTTGCAATCCGAACTGACTATACTGTTGACAGTAACCCAGCCTCTAAAACACCTAGGCTTAGAATAATCATCCCACCGGGCCTGGAGTATCACCTTCAGGCACGTGCCTTTGATTGGTACAACACATATGAAATAACAACAGTTGAAAATTTCTCTCAGGATTTAATCCAAGTTGTCACTGACAACTATAACACGTGGGTCTGCTCACGAAAACTCGAAAAAAAACAAGCCCCCCATGCTCCGAGGTGGTTCAATGACCCAATTCTAGCCAATTCAGAAGCTTGCCAATTGCTATAAAGATAACAAGACATCAGACAATCTTACGCAGTTTCTTAAAGCCAAAAAGGAATTCAGATAACTAAAAACTGAGATTCGTAGTAAACACTGTGAACAATCCTTGCAAAGCATCAAGTCAAACTCCCATGGCTGATGTATGGAGGAAAATTAATAGGCTGACAGGTAAAGCTCCCACAACACCGCAGTTTCACAGCCCACAAGAACAGGCTAATCTGCTGCTGGAGCAGTTGGTCGAAAACTCTCAGCTGAGCTCACTTCCACAAGGGATAAACGATCAACTCGAACAAGTCGAAAATAGATAGAAAATTCAATATAGCAGTAGCCTCTACTGCTTTTGACCCGTCCAACTTTGCCGAAATAACTGAGTGGGAACTGAAAAATGCCCTTCTGAAAGGCAAGGCAACAGCCCCTGGGGAGGATGGCATTACTTATAGTGTTCTTCGCCTCATTGCGCAGGTGCCAGGCAACCCACTCTTACACCTGTATAGACTCAGCCTATCACAAGGAATCCTCCCAAGCTCCTGGACTAAAAGTTTAATCATCCCTATACCCAAATCCAACACTGACAAATACAGACCAATTTCCTTGACCTCCTGTCTGTGCAAAGTACTTGAGAGAATTATTCTGTACCGTATACATGCTAAGTTATCCCCCAGACTGTATGGATTTCTCCCAGGACATAGCAGTCACCATTGTTTTGCAGAGGACTTAACAAACTCAATACCAGGCATGCAAACCGTATTTCTTGATCTTCAATCTGCCTTTGATATTGCAAACAGAGAAATGATCCTTGAGAAACTAGCTAGCTTTGGTATTCAGGGAAAACTATTAACATGGATTCAAATGTATCTGTCCAATCGATCGGCTCAGGTTTTTTTCAGGGGTGTTAAGAGTACTCACACATAAGTGTTTGAACTCGGCACACCTCAGGGAGGCGTACTTAGTCCCATGCTATTTAACATCCTAATGCATAGATTACTAGAAGATATACCACCATTATTTTCTCTGCCGATGATATTTGCATTAAATCCTCATCCGAGGAGAGAATGCAACAGATTCTTGGTGTCCTTTCAGCAAGGGATACAAATGTGGCTTGATCATATCGACTGAAAAAAACAAGGCACTTAACACTAAAACAATCCCTCTGCCAAGGTTTCACATCAATGACACTGAGCTAGATCTCCGTCACCAATACAAATATCTCGGGGTGGTTGTTAATGATGCAGAGTTCATACAAAACCTGAAGAAAAGGCTGTGGGAACGGCTGAAGCCACTTGGGACACTTGTCGGCAAAGGCCATGGTATTGATGTCAATATTGCTAGACTCTTTTACCTGTCATACATACAGTCGGTCATAGATTATCATGCATTGCACCTAGTATTATACAAGGAATCAGAGTTGGCTAGTTTAGAAACTGTACAAAATAAGGCCATGAGGATTATTCTTGGTGCTCCTAAAACAACGAGGATTGTGAATATGAGAACAGAACTTAATTTGCCGTCTGTCTATGAAAGAATATTATAAACACCACATATGGCGTCAAAGCAATAAGAGAACCCCTCTATTGTAGAGTTCCAAAGACACCTAAAACATAGAATAGTGGAGATAACTTTGAAAGGCAACATCGATTCAAACTCAAATCCATGGCTACAAGTAACATGTAAGCACTTGTCTCAGCTGAACATATCCATAACTAAGACCCTACATGGACGTTCTGCTCCACCGTGGAAAATGTCGGAT